AATGACATGTGCCTGAAATAAAATTCAGAAAATATCAATAATGTTTAACAAAGCTGTCCCAGATAAATTATAGTGAATCAAACAGGTTGAATACGCCTAGTCCTGAACATCTATCTGAAGATCTGTGGTACATTTTTGCAGGAATGCAAATAGTTTCCATGTTTTTGGTACAAGTTCAAAAATTCCACGCTGTCCCCAAGTGCCTGAATAGTCATATCTACATACTTGGGTTAAGTTATACTGGTAACAGAGCATCGCTATCATCAAGTCACTTGGTTCATGAAATTTTGAAATACAAATCTGTAGACTCTGATATTGTTACATACCTTACAGCTAATTGTGGATTTCCCATTCGTCTAGCTGCATAAACTAGTTCTGTTAATATTCTATGATGTAACATTGGCCAACCATCAAAGTTATCTGAAACATATACAATCAAGCCCCCTATTACAAACCCAATATGCACTCTGTATTAAAATTTAACAGTCAAAATGTGAAAAGATAGATAACTCTGCAATAAACAAAATTTTGAAAAGAGATAGGGTTCTGGCTTTTTCCTCAATATCCAATGCCACAATGTTTGAAAGATTATTTCATAAAAATGTGAAGATAAACAGAAGAAAAATGGCTTCCGACCGTGTCCCGCCAACTCATATTCACCTCCACTTAACCCTAAATCTTGCATATTGGAACATTTTGGATTTAAAGATGGATAAGCTGTGACTAACGATGTAACATGGCGACACATGTAAAACACCACCATCCACAAATAAACGTTGATGTCACTCGTAGTCGTAAGGAAATACCCTCTAACAACCCCCCCTCTTCCCCCCACAAAACACAAATGTGCATGCAAGATGTGATAAAAAATTAAACTGCCCTGCAATTCTCCCCGATCTTTAAGCATTCTGAGAGCAATTGGGACATTTATTGCCACAAACGTCAATTTGAATAAATATGAATTGTTTATTAATTAGCCTAATAATTAAAGACAATTTTAATATCATCTACTAGTTTTATTCTTTATGTGAATTTGAAAACAAGAAGATATTGTGATACGTATCGTATCGTGAGGTCTATAACGTGATACGTATGGTATTGTGAGGTAAGCGTATCGCTGCAGCACTACTTTACGACACGTACATTATAATTGCAATTAACTAAATTATAGTTTTGTTTCCTTTCTTTATTTCTAATTTTCACTCTACATTCTAATATAGTTTCTATCACAACTGTGTTTCACCCGTAAGAGTTCTATTTGTATGAGTTAGTCATAAAAACACAAACCTACAAGAATTGCAATACTTCACCGCAAACCACAGCCCTATAAACCAATACAGACATTCAAACTGGCTGAACAGCTCATGTATTCTGAAGATCGACTTCAAAGAAAATATGTCAGATGTCGATGCAGTGTATCGAAAACAAAACTATTTCTTATTTCAAACACATTGCCATAATGCAAATATATTTTATGAACTTACCATGTCTTGGATCAAGAGTTATTTTATAACCCTGTAGAGTTTCTAATAATAAATAATAACACTGATGCCAGGCTGCAGTTCCTGGTGATACACACTGCATTCCAGCCACACGTTTAAAAAATGCAGCCTTACGATGAAAACCAATCTGGGAATATAACGTAGCTAACGTTCCAAATCGCTGAATCTAAAAATAACAAGCAAAAATATATCATTATATTTATCGATTATTATTTCTAAAAAATGCATAGTTTTTGTGAAATTATTTACAGCTTTATTTTTACTTAAATTTTGCATTATCTGGAAAGAGTAAAAGTTTGTGCATTCTAACTAAAATTGTCTTGGACAATAAAGATATTAATCAATCAAGCTGGCAGGTTGCAAAGATCAAGTCCTATTTTAACCAATCACAGTAATGGTAGAAGCAAAGTTTTTAGAAAAAAGAACGCTTTCTACAAATCATTCCGTTGGGTTTTTTTATAACTCAACTAATGATGCTTTCTTTCGCTTGTACTCTCAAATTGCTGTTTATGGTATTATAATTGGTGAGTTAATCAACATACCTTATCTTCTTCAGATGATGGAAGATTTATATAAACAACATTCTGTAGAAAATCAGATGCTTGTAAATATTTCTGAAAAATATAAATGAACATATACTACCAATCATTCTTACATTGTTGTGTGTGGTGTTTAACACCCGATTCCACAGGGGGTTGATTTCACAAATAAGTTATCTTGGTTATTTAGATTATTTTAGCGCACACACAGGGATCTTTCCTGTGAGAGGAAACCAGAGTACCCGGAGTAAACCCACAAGGTTGAGAAGACGCTTGTATAACCAAGCAACATACACTCTTTTGTTCAGGAATTGAAACCACAACCACAAGCCAGAGGTGACCACCAGCTAGAGCTTGAGGCACGACACTCTAGACCACTAGGTAATCCCACCACCCCTTTTTATTATGTAAATTCTGCTGGACATATATGTGATCTACTACTAGCAACATGTAGTAAATGTATTAACCTGACTATTTGATTCAATGTTTTACAAAGATAAAATTAAAGCCATCTTAATTCCATCAAGCTCCTATAAAATGATTTTAATTACACAATATTTTACTCTACACATTTTAAACAGTATCACAGAAAATTAGATAATGAAAAATACAGATACAGACATTATTTTTATAACATCCATAAAATTAACTTTAGAAAAAAGGGAATATAACCACAAAACTTTACTTCTTGAATGTTTATATAAAAATGAGAAAATCAGATGAAAAGGGATTATAATCATTAAATGTTTATATTACAACATAACTGAAGCCACAAGCCCTTGATTATAACACCCTGTCTGATTATAACACCCTGTCTGATTATAACACCCTGTCTGATTGTACCTTCCTTACTAATCATAACATCCCTTATAGCCTTGATCATTCCAGTCAACAGTGGTTTTACTTTAATTACCACAAATATTAAAAAGTATGTACAAAATAGAAGCAATTGTAAATGTAGTGTCTGGACACTTATAATTATAATGTAATTTAAATGTTGTCAAAATCCATAAGTTAACATAGATTCTGCATATTCAAATGCAAGTAGAATATAAGTTGAATATGTGAGCTTGGAGCTATTGTTACTATAGAGATATATGTGTATTTAGTAAATTAGAGTTTGCCTCTCTCTATGATAGTTTGTTACTGGTGGCTTCAATGATATCATTATATAAACAATCAATCAATTAATCATCTCAATCACTTTTTACTTCTTAATCTCAAATAAAAATGTTTCTAAAATATTTTTTCTGCTTTGAGGGATTTCCATATTTCAAATGCAAAAAACTGAAGACCAAACATCATTATTATGTATATTACTTTAAACGTAAAAAAGTTATTTGAAATCATGATTGTCAAATAATTATGAAAATCAATATACATAAAAAATAAGACCAATCCCCACAAAAAAAGAGAAGAAATAAACTATTTAATTATAATTGTATCAATAAAATATTTAAAGATGCATTATGTAAGTGATAAATCTGCCTATTGCAGATCTTTTTCTAGATTCAAACTTTATATAAGTTATTATACAAACATTTAATAACTTGTTTCAATGGCTTTTAGTAATTGAACTGGAAAATACAGGCCACAATTCTATAAAATACAATTACTGCTTATTACTGAGCAACGTTTCGAGAAACCTAGTTGAAATGTCGCTCAGTAATAAGCAGCAATTGTATTCCATAGAATTGTCACCTGTATATACATGTACAATAAGAAATCCCTGGGCTCTTGGATGGTTCTGATTTTAGATTAGAACACCATGGCCATATAAGAGTTTAATGATAAATAGACCATCATGACTTAAGTCTCAATTGTCAAGTACCGTTGCTACGAATATAAACAATCTAAGCTACATTTTTTCAAAATTTCAAACACTATTAACTTCGCAGGGAATAAGTAATTTGACTGAAATTTTCAATATATTCATTTTTAATTATCTATTTTTGAACTGCAAGCTCTTTATCCAAATCTTACATAATGCATCTGTAATATTTATATTCTATTTTAGAGAGTGAGGAAAATAGCTTTTAACATTATCATGTATACAGAAAGTTTTCATAACTCTGGTTACAGACAAGGGCCATTCTTAAATCTTTTCTTCTAAGAGTAAGACTAGTAAAGATAAGTTGCCACTCTGCCAGTCATTAAAACATATATGCCTACAGGCAACTCAGACAGTGGTGACAACAATATACTCTCATATACCATGTGTGCATATAAAAAAAATTATACAGTAGAATAACTCTAAAAGTAAATATCAGAAAATGGAATTATTTGTTGCAATAAAACATTTTAATATTGGAGTATGAAACTTTTACTTGTTGTATTACTTTTAATAAAATAAGACTTTTACTTGTATTACTTGTAATAAATTCAAATATTACACCATTGAATATCATTTTCAGATCTAAGTTAAACATATCTAAATTAAATGAAAAATATAAGATTACACATTTAAAAAGAGAAACTGATATTTAAATAAAAAAATCGAAAAAAAAATCACTGCATCAACTTAAAAATTTAAAGCAACAAAATGATTTTCCTTTTATTTTCTTCTGGAAATGAAATTTGCAAAATATTATTTTAGAAGGTGTGCAATACAGATTACAAGAGATTAAGATGATTAGTTGATTGGATGTTTATCTAAAGATATAAATGAAGCCACCAGCCTCTAAATTCCCTACTTGTGTTGTTACAAGACCCCTTAATACAGAGAGGAGGCCATCATTACAGCTTTTACTCCAAGCACACTTGGATCTTGAGAAATACAAAAATAAAAAAATCTTTTCTCAACCTATGATTGACACTGAGACAAGCCATTTGAGTCAAATTTTAAAATATTGGTATATAAGGCCTGAAGAATTTCAAATTTCTATCATTCACTGATTTCTATTCCTCCTACCAAGTTCTCTCCAATAATCTGTGTGTTAAAATGTCCTACAGTGGTGCAATGTTTTTAGACGAACGGCAACGTTTAGCACAGTTTTCTCCACTGCCTCCGAGCATCATGTCTTCTCAAGGTTTGTCTTTCCTTCCAACGATGTCTCATTCGACTCCGGTGAATATATTACAAAGACCACAAGCAATGTTACCAGGACATTTATCTCCCTTGAATTACAGCAAGTTATCTCCAGTTGGTACAAGCAGTGGTCAATCTGATCGACCGTATCAACCACTGTCTTTGTCAACTACAAGTCCAGACTCTGCATTCAGTCCTGTAAACAGATCCAGAGATTCGTCTATGAACTTATCACCATTGAGCCACAGTTATTCACCCTTGAATCAGTCCGCAGTGACGCCACCTACTGGGTATTTGGGTCGTTTACGATCGCATCCAATGTTTCAAGACCTACAGCGGTTTCTTGCACAAGAATGTAATCATTTACAGGTATGTGTAATTCTTATATTTGTTGAGAAAAAACAACCCTACATTCGGTCTTAGAGTAGCATTGATTCTATGCAAGCCAGAACAATTTGTTTTTAGGTGCCATGCACAGGACTGAGTAGGCTGATTCTTCCATGAACACCTGATGCTACTTCAGTACTGGTTATCATTTTGTTACATTTACCATTTTAGAAAGTCCCCTTACTATTTACTTCATTTTGTCAATAGACTTACAGATCTATTACATAGTAATTGTATTTTCATGTGTCTGGGAAAAAGATACTGCAAAAAAAAAGAGCATGTACCATGCTATAAAGTTAAAGAAGTTACACCTGATTTAATTAAGAATAAAGTACTGAATTCAGCTGATCTGATATTTTGATTAGCAATGGGACAAGCTCTATACAATATTAAACATAAGTTGGTTGCTTTACCTATTTATTTTCTCTTTTTGCTTAAATTGTTAACAGCGCAGTGGAACTTCTATTTTATACCCAACTAGGTCTAGTCATTTCAAATCAATAACTATCTCAATACTTAATCACAGGTTCATCTGTTTTCCTTCTCCTTCTTAAGAGAACCTTTAAAGTTGTTACTATGAATTACATTGTATTGTGCTTACTATCTTCAGGTGCCAGCAAGTCTTATCACTAGTAACTGGAACTTAGACCATCTTCAGTCAGCTACATCACCAAGCTCTGTAGAAACATCCCGAGATCATGCCACTTCTTCAAGTCAACAAGTTTATGCCCTTCACATGCAACTTCAAGACCGATTCCTTCGTCTCCATGGTGATAATGATCTTCACGAAACCAGTAGAAAGATGGAAAGTCTTTACTGTTCAGAAGTTGGACGTATTGAGATGCAGCGCTATCAATCACTGTGCACCAGCTACACAGAGTCAAGTAAATATGCTGTTAACATCCATTACAACAAAGAGAGGATAGCTCTTGTCGAAAAATTACAAAAAGAAGTAGACATTATAACCAAGTTACCACCTACCACTTCAACACCAATTACCAGTCTTCGCCAATCAGGCTTTGCATCAAGAGATGCATCTTCATCTACCAACAGCACCTTCAACGAAATCAACTCTGCTCCAAGACCAGCTGATGCTCAGTCACATTCTAGTTCAGCATCTTTATCTGAAGGCTTCCCATCTACCTCTACCAGTTCCATGAGCATTTCCTCAAGTTCTTCTGCATCTTCCAACAGTTCCATAAATAGTGCTACATCTTCCATCAGCTCCTTAAACAGTGCTTCTGCTTCCATCATTACCAGTCCAGAAACCAATTCATCCAAAGAATCAATTGAGGAGACTCCTGTTACCAGATCCAGAACAGGTCGTCTACTGAGTCCTGAGACCATCAGAATGCTAAGCAACTGGTACGACGCACACATGACCTACCCATACCCAAATGATGAAGATGTCGAAGAACTTGCTACTAGAGGGGGCATTACCCACGGTCAGGTTAGAAAATGGTTAGCAAATAAACGAGTTCGATCATTTAACACGCTGTCCATCACTGGTAACGACCATCCAATCAAATATAAGTATCGTGGCAAGAAAGGAGCAGACACGTCTACAGAAACACATGCTTCTCGTCGCCCTCAGTACAAACTACTCAGTTCTGCAGCAAAGAATATCTTAAACGACTGGTATGAATGCCACAGTGAACATCCATATCCAACGGACGAAGAAAAAGAAGATTTAGCAGAGAAGGCAGGAGTATCACCAGCTCAAGTAAAGTCATGGTTTGCCAACAAGAGAAGTCGTACCAACAATACCAAACGACAAGTGCCTAATTATTTCATCAAGAAATTTCCTGGATACACACCAATTGTTGAGATGGTTAGCGAACAGAGAGCCGCACGTAAAACTACTGGAAAAACGATTGAACGAGTTCGCATGGATCTCTATCAACCTTGTAATATGGCTTAAAAACTTTGCTGGATAATCTGGCATCAGATCAAAGTGCTTTCGTTATTGCGTGTAAGCAAGTGATGACTGTTTTAGACATGGACTTTAATTTAATGCTAGAAGGACAACAATTGAGACAATTTACTGTAAATTAAGTTGCTGATTTGTAGTTAAAGGATAATTATTCTATTATTGATTTGTAATTTAGAATTATTGACTAATTGTAGGATGAGATTTTTTGACATTTATTGAAACTCGAATGACTTTGAAAGTTTGTTTTGACAGCTGTTATGAATTGTTGATTTTGTAATTGTTATAAATTGTGTAAATATGTAAATAATCTATAATCATAAATGCATTCCTATAACATTTCTTACTGAATAATATTCGAAATGAACTTGTCGTTTTGTTCTTTTATTGGGCTGTTTCAGCTGAATAGTTCATAACTGAGCTGTTTCAGTTGAATGATTTATAACTGAGCTGTTTCAGTTGAATGATTTATAACTGAGCTGTTTCAGGGATTGTTTTTGTTACTGGAGAACTAAAAATTGCAAATTGAATTCAATGATTAAAAGAGTTAAACTGTGTTAATAGGTCAATTAATTATCAAAATGACCTGATCTGATGTGTTATTTCCATGAGGGATGGATTATACCGCATCACTGACATATGTACATAAATTTATGAAGGAAGATGGATTATAATACCACAACAAATAAAACCTGGCACATTTTCATATTACAAGATTAGGTTACTCACCCGTTGACCAATGAGAACTCGGCATGCTTTTAGACTTGCCTCCATTTCAATCATACCAGCACTTTTGAACTAATAATGACAAACAAAAAAATTCAATTCAGTTTTGACAGGAAATCTACTTTGATAAGAGATTTTTTGTGTTTGTAAAAAGAAATACTATAAAATATAGACATGTATCCACAGGGTGTGTTTGACAGTTGGGTATCTGAATCTGGACTCCTGTATTTACATTCAAGATAGGATTAGAAAACAATAAACAGAACATCAATGATGATTCATTAATTAATTAGTCATTTAGTCAAATATGCATTAAATATTGTTATGTTTCTTCCATTTCACACACCTTATGTTGCACACTATTGCAAAGGTTAAAAACAGAATAAACTGGTTTAATTGATTCCCACAAGGTACTATAAATATCATCTGATTAAAATACTCATCCTATTTTGTTTCGTTTTCCATAGTTTAAAACATTGTTTTATTTGTCTTCACTACAGTAGAATCTGGAAGAGTTGTTAAATAACCTGTGTACTGGTTGATTTGAGGGTTTAGCCAATCAAATGTTCTTACCGTCTGGCACAGAGAACTGTGGGTAGACATTCTCAGCCATAGAAAAATTGTGACCTCTACCGGGTCCACAACCTATATGTGTACGGGGCACGTCCATTTTGTTAGTCAGTGGTGGTCTGATTTTCATTATGGTGTAAAAGCGATCAATCTAAATTTTTTTAAATCAGATATAAAAAATGTGAACTCTAGTGGAACAGGGGCCATAATCCAGGAAATTACGGCCTAATATGCGTGAATATTGAAAGGAACCTACATCTTTGAGATACAAACATATCTTTTAAGTTTCATCAAAATCTGATACAAATTGTGAAATGAAATGAAATTTGAAATAGGGTTTAATGTCCTACTGTTCTGCTCCAACTGGGCTAATGACAACGAGCATACGCCATACAGCGTGCTATGAGGGAATTTTGCCCGGACAGCGGCGCTACGACCTACTCTTATATCAAATTCCAACTGCCATGTGATCTTTTACGAGCACGCCAATGTGTACACGGGGCTTCAGTTTTCCGTTCCATCTGAACAACTAGACAGCTGTCCTTGTCAGTTGGTATTACATACTTTTACTCTATTTGTGTACAAGGAGCGGCCATTCTGTCGGACAGTTTCAGTCCAATTTCACAAAATTTGAACTCAACCATCATTAGGGGTAACAGTGATATATTTAAACATTTTTTTAAAATCGGATAAGTAAGCTAAAAACAAGATTTTTCGTATATTTAGAAAGTTATGGTCCGAAATACAAGAATATTGAAAGGAACCAAGATCTTTGCGAGATAAACAGATATTTAAAGTTTCATCAAAATGGAATCAAAATTGTGACCTCTAGCATGTCCACAACTTTGATATTCCATACTTTTAAAATATTTCAATTTGCGTACAAGGAGCAGCCATTTTGTAGGGCAGTTTCATTCCGATTTTTATGAAATTCAACCTCAACTATCATTAAGGCACTAGGGTGATATATTATAATCCATGGGGTTTTTAAATCGCATAAAAAATGTCACAAGTAGTGTGTCCACAAGCTTAAAACACAATTTTTCATAGAATTAGGGTACATAATCCAGGCAGTTAAATTGATATGCATGACCTCTAGGGTGTCCAAAAGCTAAAAACATGATTTTTTCTGATATTTAGAGGTAATAATCCATGAAGTTACTGTCTAATACATGCCAATATCTAAAGGAACCAAGATCTATTATAGATAAACCAATATTACAAGTTTTCGTCAAAATCAGATAAAAATTGTGACCAGTATAGACTGTCTGCAAACAAATTGTGGATTGACCTCTGGACGGACAGGAGCGAAGATAATATACGTCCACATGAAAATGTGGGCGTATGAAAACGAAACAAAATATTGAAATGTATTCTAATCAGATTGCCTATAATGTGGCGAATATAAAGTAATAGTGATTTACCATCATCAATCATTACTGGTTCAAGGGCAAAAAGAAAAGATATCTTATCAGTACATGGTAAAAAAAAAATTACCGGTGAATAAACGGAAATGCTGGTTAATAATAGAAACTGGATGAGGCCTACCTTACTATAATGTGTTATAGCTTCCCGATATTTCTCTATAATATCATCAGGGTTTAAACCTGGGTTACTACCAGCCACCTCAGCTAAATCTAAACCATTCGCATAATTATTAGATAAAGTGGCTGAAATGACAAAAGAATTAATACTGAGTATACAATTGCAGTATCTCTTTCTGGAACTAGTATCAACTGCCTTGTAACTGTTAACCTACAGCAGTACTGTTTGTCATAAAATATAGATACTTCACAAACTGTGGTGTACAACATATATTCGCAAATTGTTAAATAAATTGGGAAGATTATGTAATGTTTCTACGGCATCAACTGATGGTGTTTTCATTACATGTATAAGAGAGTGAGAAATAGGTTTTAACGTCCACTCATCACATACTAGGTCATTTTGGGATTAATAATAAAAGTGAGTTGATATATTGCACACAATTCCTTCAAAGTTAATGCTCAGTGGACAGAGCACAAGCTAAATGTGATTTCTAATACAATCAGGGGCCATAATATAGGAAGTTACGGTATGTACGAATATCAAAAAAACACTTCTACCTCTTGAGGGACCACAACCTTGGTGTTACATACTTTCACACTATTTGCATACAAGGAGCGGCTATCTTATCGTGCAGTTTCACAAGATTCAAACTCAACCTTCATTTGAGTGTAACGATGTTATATTTAAACGGTTTTTAAATTGAATACAAACTGTGACTTTTCGAAGGTCCACAAGCTAAAAACGTGATTTTTCGAACAATCAGGGGCCATAATCCAGGAAGTTAAATTCCTATATGTGCGATTACCAAAAGGAATCAAGCTCTTTGTGATATAAACATAAATTAAAGGTTTCATCAAAATCGGATACAAATTGTGACCTCTAGAGGGTCCACAACCTTGATATACATGTACCATACTTGTACAGTATTGTACACTATTTGCGTATGAGGAGCAGCCATTTTGTCTGGCAGTTTCAGTCCGATTTTCATGAAATTAAAAGTTCAATTGACATTACGGTGTTACGGTGATATACATGCATTCAAACGTTTTTTGTTTTTTTACATCGGATAAAAATTCTGACTTCCAAAGGGACCACTAGCTAAAAACAGGATTTTTTGTATAATCAGGGGCCATAATCCAGGAAGTTACGGTCTGAATATATGAGAATATCAAAAGGAACCAAGATCTTTGGGTTATAAATATACATTTCAATTTAATAAAATCTGATCAAAATTGTGGCCTCTAGAGTGTCCACACGCTAAAAATGGGATTTTTCGTAGAATCAGGGGCCATACTCCATGAATTGAAGTTACAGTCCAATATCAAAAATAGAAATTGTGACCTGTAGATAATGAACAGGGATTATATTGAAAATTTCAGTCAAATTACTTCACTCTGAGCTGAGATATCGACAATACAATAACACTGTAGCTTTGATTCTCATTGCTACCATTGTTACGATAATAAACATAGTCTCGATTATCCACTTTTACAGTTTTTCATCAACCGTAAAACGTATTCAAATCTACTAAATAATGGAGCTACATGTATCTGATGGCACGAGTGATGATAATGGTCTTGGTAAGTTAATTAATGTATCATTAATGATTTATTTAACAATTAAGGCCTAAAGAATGACCTGCATTACGCAGCTTTAATTCTTACATAATGCCCATTTAAGTGAAAAGTTATTCCATTTACGAATGCTGATTTAAACACAACTAATTTATTTAAAAAAAGGTTTAATAAATATACTCTCTATTTGTACTAAACAAAATATAACTGGGGAATTCACAGTAGCAGGCCACGAAATTTCAAATTTTGGCGTAACCAGAAAAATGGTTGCGCTGTTTTCATGTTTTATCCAGATTTAAATGGTGCTTTTATTCATTTCCACTTGCAGTGAATGTATTTTTTAAAGAAATAACTTGACTAACTTTATTCTTTTATATTTAATATTATATTAGGTTAAGTGTTAATGACTTTAATCCCACGGTGTCCCCATTTAAACAATAAAACATTAGAAAAAAAATGTTCCACTTCACTAAATCCCTACATTTTAATAATGAGGGGAATCGGTTCCAAAAATTACTAATGGATTTTCGTTTTTATATCATATCTGACATTCAAAAACCAGGAATGGTAGCT